AACTTGACATGTAGCTTCTAGAATAGTATATATTTTAATTTTATGTCTACCGCCTGTCGGAAGAAAAGGGTCCTGGGTATCCCCTAGTCGGGAGCTCCCGACTAGAACCTCTTACTTGTTTTTGTTTAAAATTAATGTCTGGTGCTCTTCAACCCTGCGCTGTTGTGTATGCTACAGTTTTGTTTTGTGTGTTTTCAATCTATTAATTGATTTTGCTGTTCCTATATACATAGGTATATATATAACTATATGAAGGGGGCGACCGCATGTTGCTGAAAAATTGTCAATTTGCAGCAGCTCGTAATTAGTGGTCTGTCCGGCGCTGGCAACTTTATTGGCCTGTTTCAGGAAAATGCCGAAAATGCAGCAATTAGTGCTTGAGGTTTAATAAACACACGCACACACACGCTCTCTCCCCCCTTCTATCTCTCTCTCTCTTACACGCACGTACACACACACACACACGCACGCACAGGCGCGCGCACATATAAGTGTTGTAGTCCATTACGCACAAATTGCTAGAGGAGACGCCGTCAGCAATTGAAAATATTTGCCTGCAAATTTTGTGATAGGCCCCCTCTTTCTCTGTTGTTATTTTTATTTCTTTTTTATTTCTGTTTGCTCTCTATCCCCCCTCTCTTCCTTTCTCTTTGTATTTGCTGTGTAAACATGGAAGGGACGCTTTGTTGTTGCTTGTTGCAACACTCGCATGTGGCACAAACCAATTGACCCAAATTTAAAGCAGCGCACAAATAGCTGCAAGCGGCTGGCAACCAGAACGCAGTCGCACCGGGCTGAGCTATGGATCTAAAACTGGGTCCAGGCCATGGGATATGGATTGGTATTAGGGAACTGCACAGCCCCCTCACACACACGCACACACACACACACACACACATGCCAGCAGCTGTTGGGAGTGTTTGTCTGACTGCGGTTAATTGCATTACACACTTCGTCGAGGTGTTATTAATTTTATTTCTTTGCCAAGTGCACGTAATGACATTTGGGCCCGCTCCGCTGGGTCTATCCGTCCGTCCCATGTTTGACATACATTTCATGCTCAATTACGTGTGTGCAAACATGTTGCAACTGCTCGTTAATTCCCATTTGACAATTAAACAAAAATAAGCACTTTGTGTTCATGCAGATCAAATTGATTTTCTGAACGAATTGCATTTAAAAACTATGTTTACCTTATTGAATAATAAACTTAATTAAACCACACATTTGGTATAGTTAAGTACATTCTACTAAATTTAGTTGAATGCCCGTTTTCGTTTCATGCAACTGGCAAAGCTCATGTTAGTTGGGTAATTTTGTTTCCTAAGCCGCTTTTTAATGAAGTGCTATAATTGTGCGCAAGTGTGGCAACTCCAAGCAAGTGGCAACGTCTTGACCTAGACTTGCCAGACCGGCAAGTGATTTATAATTTTGCAAGTCTGCACTAAAGAAACCCCTTTACTATTTTTGGTCTTCTGCTCTATGAGAAACTAAGTTAAAAAAAATATGCAAAGTTAAGCAGCTTGTAAAATTATTTCGAATATAAACAGAAATTTATGCAATTCCGAAATTCCCAAAAAAACTTTTGTCAGAAATTGTACCCAGTTGGTCATTGAGCAATTTTTATCAGTCAGCTCCAAACTGCGGTTGTTTGTCTAACTTTCTATTGTTGTTCAAATTGCGTAGAACACACGCTAAACAGACGTCGGCATACACACACGAACACAAACACGGCGACAGTTTTGTTGTTGTTGCTGTTGTTGTCCTTATTTTTGGCCAGCTGGCAAGTGGAACAAAAGGCCAAAGCGGAATTTTCTGCAGAAGAGGGAGCGACGCTGTCGGAAAATTAGCGATTCAATGAAATGGGATTTTAAATGGCTGAAAACTTTTTAATGCGTCTACGGTCGCCCTCGACATGTTTGTAGCTCGTGTCTGGGGCGGCGCCACGGCCGGGTGCGCGACCCGGGACGCCGGCAAAGTTGTGCAACGCGAGTTTTTGCCACTTGCAGTTGCCAGTTGCCAGTTGCAGCCGCCGCAAAAGTTTTTAAATTATGCGCACATTTGCAGCGCCTCGTTGCTGTTTCTCTCGCTGCCATGTTCTGGTTCTTGTTGCTTCTGTTGGCCGCGCCGGAAATGGTCTTTGGCCGAAAGTGTTACACGCAGCGTGCAGCCGGACGGATGGCGTGCGACAACGACCCTGTAGGTGAAGATGGAGATGGGGCGACGGGCTTGGATAGGAGTCCCGGCTTGGGGCTGTGGGCGCGCAAACAAGTTGCAAACAGTTGTTGCGCTACAATTTTCAGAGCTTCTGTAAACGGCAATGGGTCGAGCGCGGGAGCGTGTCGCGGCGCAGCGCGGTATGGGACGGAACGAGCAATTGCCTTTCGGTTGCAATTTATGTATTTTTCCCCATATCAATTTAGTTATTTATTATTTTTCTTTGCACTTAATGAAGAAAGTTTCTAATTACAAGAATCTCGTTTGCAGGACACACAGTGCAGTTTGCTCCATGTGCAGCGCACGCCGAGCATCTGTTCGTTTCTGGGTCTCAGCGTGCCGCCACAGGATGCCGGAGATCGCACCGCCGCCACCACCACCACCACCACTACCCCTAGTACAACAACTAGCACCACCACCACCAGCACGCCGGCCACGGCAACGGGTAAGCCAGCCGAAGCAGCAACAACTGCTGCAACATTTCCAATAGTGGCAGCTGTTTCCAGCCCAACGGCCTCCGTGGGCAGTAAGTGCAGCTAGCCAAGATCCTTTAGCAGCAGTTGACAACCTTAAATTTACAGGCATCCTGGGCATAATCCTGTCGGTGACTTTCTTTGTGGGATGCTTGGGAATGTTTGCCTTCTCGCCGGCGCGAAGGCACCGCGTGCGTCGACTCTTCCGACGCAGCAGCTCAGCGGTGCGATATTCCAGGGTACGACTTAATGGTCAGCAATCGTTTAGCCATTGTCCAACCAATGATTTTATTGCAGGTACATTCGAACGAGGAGGCTAATCTGCTTCTAGAACCGAATGGAGAGTTTACAGAAAGCGATGATGATATGCTACTTTAGAAGTGTACACCGAGGAACCAGGCTGTAACGCGTACTGATTGCTATAGAAAGTTAACCAAGTGACATAGACAAAATGAAAATTTATAAAAAAGACATGAGAAATCCCAAAGTGAGGAACATTCAACACCAAAGACAGAAAACGCAACTGATTGTGAATTAAAAACTGATAGTAGACAAGTAATGAATTGTATTGATGAAAGTTATTGTGTACTTACTTATGTACAATACGTCTGGATGACAACGACAAACATACAAACCCAATTTAATGGAACTATTTATGTATATGCCTAAACAATATTATATATTTTATATACCTGCACTTCAAATATGTAAAGGCAAAACCCCAATAAGGCCCCGTAGCCACAAACTTAACTATATACATATTTGTAGCTAATTGCTAATAGAGAATTGCCTGCGACAATTGCTTTATAACTCTTAAAGTATTTTACCAAGCAACATTACTTTTACTTATGTTTAAGTTAACTGCAGGTTTATATTCGACATCTTAAAATCAATACTGCGGTTAAATGTTTGACACCGTTTTTTTTTTGTTTGTTTTATTGTATGAGACTGGGCGATGTGTACTTAATTTGTTTCGTGGTATAACGTTTTTACTTTTGTTTTTTAGTTTATTAAGCCGGCTGTAAAATAATTCAATTTTAAATAACAACATAACTGTATGTAGTTCTATATATACTCTGTATAAAAAGAATTTGAAAAACCTAAGCGAAAATAAATATATAAACATATTTTTGACATTGTTTTATGATATTTTACTTGGGGATCTGAGTTATCTGAATGAAGCTCTTCGCTAAGCTTAGGCGTCTTGGGTAAATTTGACGTCCTGAACGGTAAGTAACAATGTGAGCGTAATGTTGGATTTAGGACGTAAGTAATTACTAAAACTAGGTTTTGAAAACTTTGATGAAAAAAAAAAGTAAAAATAAAATTTTACAATCAAAATATGATTTGTTGCTTTTTTTTTGTTTGATAAATTAAGTCTAAATTTTGATCAAATTTTACAAATTTTACAAAAATGGCTTCACAGTTATTCAGTAAATGGGGTTGTTCAGTTATCAGTAAATTTTCATCCCAATCTGTTTTTTAGATAAGATTTAGACACAGCATGGCATATCTTTCTCAAATCCAACTTATCTTAACTCACCATTGAATATTACGGTTAATTTTGCGAATTTTAATTGTTAGTTTGATTAGAAATAATATAGTTCCATACAGCTCTTCAACGCTTGCGGGTGGAATTTTTTAGGGCAGTTAGTTATGCAGACTTCTGAGTTTTTTAGCTAGGTTACGTTGATAGAAGAACAGTTAATCAGCCAGTTCGTGATAAGAATCCGTTTTGTATAGATAAAGCAGTTGTTTGATTTTTAAAATATATTTTATTTACTGTATTTGTATACTTGACATACTCGTGTACACAAATACATTCAATGATGTACATAATATGTATGTATTCATTTTGTATAAGTAAATGAGTGTGTCTGCAATAAATTTGTAGGTACCTTAGGCAATACATTTCAGAGACATGACATATCTACTTATACGTTATTTTCTTTAATGCTAATTACAATTTATATAACATACCATTTATGCGTATTATGTATTCTTACTATATTACTGAAATGTGAAAATGAAGAAAAATGCATATGATTGGGTAAGGTTGATAAAGTGATGTATGTAGTAAATATGTGTTATGCCGTGTATGAAGGACATTTACGAGTACTCAGCTAATAGCGTCATGATAGAGATGCCTTTGCACATACATATATAGTTTGAGTGAGAGTTTTGTGGAAATATAAAAACTTTTCCATTTCTTTTATGTACAGTGGTAATTTCTTGTTGGGTGCTTTAAATAAACTCACTTAGCTAAGTACGCATCGAGACATACAAAGTGGGATGATATAACTATGCATATAGATTCTTATGGTTTATTTATTTCATTTTGTTTTAATTACATTCAGTACACGGCATAGTTTATATGCTACTTTTTGGATACGTCATATGTATGTATATTGCATGTGCATTAATCAATAGCTTATAACAAATAATATAGATTGTACAAAAAATAAAGCTCAGTTTGTTCAAAAGTTAAGTAAAACTTGAGATTCGTGCAAACAAATGAAATGTGATAATCCTCAAAATAAAATCAAATTATTTCGATTGTGAGCTTTCTCTAGCTTTTGCGTGCGTTGAACTTAAACATAGAATATACAATATCATAATTATATAATGTACAAAATAATTAGGCTCTACTATGCTTAACTTACATATACATAACACTAAACAGAATGATAAGCTCTCTTAACTCTCAACTAGCTCAAGTTGTTCATTTTTTCAATTTGTAAATTTAATATCTTTTTTTTTTTTGCTTTTTTGAGATTTTCCATTTTCTTTCTCTTTTTTATGTCAACAAAGGCCACATGAAATATTGAAAATTGAAAATTTTCACCAATTTCGTGCATTGGAACTACAAGCAGCAGATGCGTTTCTTGTAAAATTATTCTACAGAATTGAACTAGACCAAAACACAGATACAGAGATGCACACACACGCAGACAGTCACACGCATACACACATACACACACACATAGATCTAAAGAAATAAATTTGAGTGCAATTTGAATTGGCCACAAAAATGTTGTCTAGACTTTGTTAAGACTTGGTTTAGTTTTTCATTTATACATTCAGCTGGATTCGGAATTGGTCATAGCGTAAGGATTGAATGCCTTAGTGAAAGAGGAGCTCCTCATCGTCGGGCTCCACTTTGTGCCAGTTCTATACGTCGCTCTGCTTGGCGTTTGTGTTGATGATGAAGGCGCCATTGATGTGGCCATTGCCATGGTGTGCCTTGCCATTCGGCGCATACAGATTGGTGAGGCCATTCTTGCCATTGGCAATCATGATGGCTGTGTGCGGGGTGCCGCCATTGAGCTGTGCCACCAGGGGATTCTTGGTGGTATCGCCAGGCGGCGTGGTCAGCGGCGGCGTCACCGGCGACGGCTTGATCAGTTCCAGTTTGTCATCTGTGGAGCCCTTCAGCGCCGACTTGATCAGCGCTCCGTTGCCGGAATTGCCAATGGGTGCACGATGCGGCAGTGCATATCGCAGCTTGTCCCAGAACCACGGATCACCCCACTTCAGATAGGTGTTCATTCTGAGGTATGACTTCATCTCATCGTCCAGCTGCTCAATGTCCCCAATGTCCGAGTAGATAATCACAATCACGCGCGAGCGTCCCTCATTCAGTGCCGCCCTGTGCGCCGCACGGAACTCCATGCGCGCCCAGTCGGACTTGATGAAGTTCGGGCTCAGGACAATGATGGTGCGCCGCGAGTCCGCGACGGAGCGTACAATATTCTCGGGTATGAAGCCGCCCACCAGCCAGTCGCGCACGTGCACGCAGAGCGTAAACTTTTTGGGGCCATGCTCCAGTTGCGGCACCAGGTGCTTTTCCACGAAGCTCTGATCCTTGTGCGAATACGAAATGAATGCATCGAACTTTTTGTCCTTGTCCAGCTCCGCCTCGGTGACGAACCACATGCACAGATTGTGCGCATACAGCCAGATCTTGATCTCCTGCTGGTATTTGTAGTAGAGGGCAGCGCTGATGCCCAACAGGAAGCCGGTCAGCGAGATGACCACAATCAGCGCAACGAACAGGGGTCGCGGGCATATATCATTGATATTCAGTTCCATGAGTCGTGTGGGCATCTCCGCATCCATGCAGAACATCTCCGTGTGATCCGGTATACTCTTGTATTTATTTTGAGTGAAGAGCAACAGTTCCATGGCCTCGCAGTTGCACACCCAAGGATTCTGGGAGAGACGCAGCGTCAGGTTAATGCTGTTCATGGTGCTGTTCAGGTAGCCGAGCAGCGTTGAGTTGAGCACCTGCAGTTGATTGCGACGCACATCTAAGTACTTCAGGTTGCTGGGCAGCTGGTTTACCTCCAGCTGGGTGAGATTGTTGCCCGCCAGATGTAAGCTAGTCACATTCTCGTAGCCGGGCGCATTGCTGGACGGCAGCTTGAGCAGCGTATTGTTCTCTACATACAGTTCCACTTCCAACAGATTCGGCGGGAGGCGTGGCAGCTTTGGCACCTTGGTCAAGTCGCCATTGGAGCAGTTGACAATTAGCGTTGCGTCGAAGGTGCGCACCAGGCAATCACAGCCGCGTGGGCAGCGTCTCTCATTCGGGTCCTCTGCCTGGTCAAAGTTGCAGACCAGCTCCCGAGGATGCACGGAGCGCATGGGACGATTCTCCAAGGCACTCGGCGCCTGGCAGTTCAATCGATCCGTATATGTGACCAAATTCTTGGCATAGTCCGGCTGAATTTCGCCGCGCACCACCTGCAGGAAGCGCAGCAGGGTGCAATCGCAGACCAGGGGATTATCATTGAGATCCACATTGACCGATTTCACGCCATGCACCAGTCGCAGACCCTTGTCAATGGGCTGGAACTCGGTCTGCTTGTAGAAGTGCACGGTGCGTATTTGATTGTGGGTCATATTGATGGTCAGATCGAAGGCGGAAACAAAGTCCAGGTCGGAGTAGTCCAGCCAGGTGAAATTGTTGTAGCTCAAGTCGATCTCCTGCAGCTCGCGCATCGCATACTTCCAGTCGCTGAAGATGACCATGAGGGAGTTGTTGCGCAAGTTGAGCGTCGTCAGATTTCGCAGATGGGCGAAAGGCGAACCAAGATCCACATCCACTCCATGCACCGTCAGATACTCGTGCAGATTGATGCGATTGTTGGCCATATTCAGTTGACGCAATAAAACATTGCTGGCAAAGGCCTGGGGTCGAATGTTCACAAGCTGATTATCGTTCATGCGGAGGGTTTTCAGATTCACCAGTTTGCTGAACAGTTTGCTGCAAGAGAGATGGAGAGGAAGGAGAGAGGGCTTATTACCAGATACTTTAACTCAATGACACTTGCTTAAAGTGCTATTAATCAGCTTTTAAAAGCGTTACGTGAACTAACACTACAGCGAGAGAAGGCCTGTGTGCAAGTGTAAGCTTTAAGCTTTAATTGATCTCAATTTTCTTATGGCAAATACGATACAATGCAGTTATTTTTCTTTGTGATAAAAAGCTTTAAGATGTTTGTGCTTAAAGCTCTTTCTTTTTTACTACAATTAACGAGCCAAATAGCCCTCAACTTTTATTACAAGTAGTTTCGTATTATTTACTTCAAATAAAAGTGCGTACAATTTTCAGAATATTTAGAGCTTTACGTTTTTTTAGCTTAAAGCAATTCTTACATATTCTAGTGTTATGCTTAGTAATAAAAAGCTTTTACAATAAAATGTACTTAATGATTTTCTGTTCAAATAAGGAAAGCTTTAGAGTTAGTAAAGCTGCAAGCATTGTGAATCTCAAAAGCTCTCTCTGATTAGTTCAACTTCTAAGTACAATTTTAAGCAAGTAGTATGCTGGAAATTGTTTAGTGTGCTTTTAGCTTACCTGGAAATTTCGGAGAGCTGATTTTCAGCTAGATTTAAGTTCTCCAATTTGGACAAATAATTAAAGATGCCGTCGGGCAAATGGCTCAAACGATTCTTGTGCAAATCCAAATTCACCAGATTCACCTGATGCTCCAGCAGCTTGACAGGCAGAGTGCTTAGCAGATTATCCATTAGCGAGATGTCGGTGAGTGCCGTCGAGTTCTCAATGAGATCCGCAGAGATGGATTCCAGTTCACAGCGCAGGTACAGGGTGCGCAGTTCGGGCAGATTGGCAAAGAGGCGGGCGGGCAGCGTGGGCAGCGGCACGCGATTGTTTTGCAGCTTCACCTGCTGCAGCTTCTGGTTGTGCTCGAAGAGACCCTCGGGCAGCGAGCGGAAGCTGTTGCCATTCAGATTGATCTCGGTGACATTGGTCAGCAAGGCAAAGACATCGGGCCGCAGCTGAACAATGCCATTATTATGCAGATCGACATCCCTTACGGAGGTGGCGCCCTCGAAGTCGTGCTTGCTGAGATTGTGCAGCTGATTGCTCCACAGGTTCAGGTGCAGCAGCTTGTGCAGATTGTGGAAGAGGCCGCGTGGCAGCTGGCGCAGATTGTTGCTGCCTAGCTCGAGGAACTGCAAGTTCTCCATGTTGGCCAACAGCCGGGCAGGCAGCTCACCCAGATTGGCGGCACGCATATCCAGCCAGTTCAGGTGATGCATGTCGCGCAGCAAATCATCCGGGATGTAGGGCAAGCGGCGGGCGGCAAAGCGCAGCCGCTGCAGATTCTGCAGCCGCTCCAGGTGCTTGCGGGTGACATTCATGCCCAGATCGTTGCCTTCAAAGATGAGCACCTTGGTGTCTTTGATGCCCAGATGATCCATAATGCCCGCTATCGGCGTGTGATACGGCAGCGGGCAACGCCTGATCTGCACCATATCGATGCTGCCAATGTTCAGCTGCGGCATCTGCTTATATTCCGAGGCATCCGTCAGATTGCATTCGATCTGGACCGTCGAGCCGGGTCGTATGGTTATCTTGAACTTGGGATTGTAGCTGCTGCCGGGACAGTTGAGCTCATACTCGGACAGAGATGGTGCGCACTCGCACGACGAGATGGTCAGATCCCGGCAATCGTCGCGGCCAAAGACGGCCACGCCCAGCTGCCAGTTGAGCGCCTGGAGAAACACAACCAGCAGCAACGTGGGCGCTGCTGCGCTTACGGCTCGCATCCTGTCGCACTTGTTGTCCTTCACAGACTGTAAGCAGAACAAAAAAAGTATTTTTCTTATTAAAAAACATCATATTAATATGAAGACTAACTATGGAAAATTATATGATAATATGGTACCTCAATTAGAACAGTTTTATTCTTTTTATAAATATTGCAACAGCTTTTATTTATGTCTGCTTTCTTATAGCAAGCAACTTGAGGAACGTAAAGAAAAGCTGGCTCCAACACATCCACAGCTTAGATATTCCGTCAAAGTAGTTTGTTGCTAAAGTGCTCAGTTAGCAATAAAGATAAATTACGAAATATGCTCAGCTAATTCTTCGACATGTATGCCTTAATATTTCAGGGTTTTAATTTTCTGGTAATAAACCTTATTGATCCAGAACGGCAGTTCTTATATGTATTGTCCTTCTCAAGCCATAAATACATTCACATATGGCGGCTCTTCCTTTGCCACAAAAAGTTTTCTTCCTTAAAAAGTAGAAGGTTTTCCTTGACACGCCAATTATAAAGCATTATTTCAGATAAACTTAATTATTGACCACTTTAAATGATGTTTCTTTTCGAAAAACTAATGTAAAAATAAACTTTATTAAAAGTTCTCACAGTTTTTAATTCAAGTAACGCCCTTTATCAAGGCATTAAGCAAAGAAGTTCCACACATAGGCCGCGTGTGACGAAAGCAGAATTTCAATTTAATTGTGGCATTTGATGGATGGAATGACTGTCGCGGCAGTTGTGAACGACAAGTCCAGCAGCAGCAGCAGCAGCAGCAGCTGCAGCAGCTGGCTGGAGAAAAGGACGAAAACAACTCATTCACTCCACAAAGGAGAGTACAAATGAGCTGGTCATGTGAGAGGGCCTGTAAGGAGTCGGCGCTATGCATCCTTCCCTTCCTGGTTTGCCCCTGTAATGTTGCATTATGTGTCTGGCACAGCCTCCCCCTCCACGCACCTGCAGCAGTCACACCTGAAAACCTTTTGGAAAGCGGGTTTCATCCGCAGCCATCCGCATCCCCAGACCGGGCGCCACGAGCTCTCTTTGGCAACTCTGTGGTGTAATTACGGTCAGGGAGTGTATAAAATGTTGTAAAATGTTCAGGTTTTTCATTTTTTTTTGGCTACCGTGTGGGCGACGTGCACTTTACGGGCTTTGTGCATTTAATGAATTTGTCATGCACTCGAGTGTTGCTTAAAGCTTTAAACGACTTTGAGGCGGCCAAAGGACTTTCGTCCTGCTGCGGCACAATTAAATTGTGCCCATTAGGAAGATTTTTGAAAAGGAATTCAATTAAAACTTTTCATCTGGCCTTCTTGTTGTCCTCTCGCTGTCTTCACTTGGCCATTTGTTTTTGCCCAGTTGGCTTCCAGTTAGCTGCATTTCGGGCCTTTCAGCCGAAGCTTTCGGGTCTGACGCCATAATTTTGTTGCCTACGACAGCTGCTTTTGAATGAAATTTTGATAAGCCAATTAAATTATACGCGCTGTAATTTGATTTCCAATTTGGTGACTTTTTGCTGTGAGTTCGCCGCCCGCAGGCGAACAATTTACTTGCCATTTGCTTTTAATTAGCCTACAACAATGATGAAATTTTCACTGGCGCCTCGGGCAAAGTAAATAATTATAATTACAGATATTGAATTTCCTTTTGCAAGTGCATTTTCTACGCTTGGCCACCTTTTGATTTTTCGTGAAATATTTTAAATACTTGTGATGTTTAAGGTACAGGAGATTATTCCACCAATGAATGGGGTAAGTTTAATCAGCTTTTTGAAATGTTCATTTGATTTTAATGCTTATAAAATGAAAGCTTAAACGAAGGTTTTAAATTTCTTTAGTATATAAGAGCTTTACTCAAGAAATTAAAAACCAGCGTAAGCTTCAGGTGCTTGAAAAGCATATTCGTATTAGTTCATATTCTCATAGCTATTAGTTGAAATGTATTTTAATTTATACGATTAACAGATTATAAATGAGTTTTATTGTTAATACCCAACTAATTTTATTTAAAAGCTATTCATTTATACTGAGCTCGTCATTTTGAAGCTTTCAGCTTATACGTGCTTTATTATATCTTGGGTTCGCTTTATTATGAATACTCAACACATTGAATTCCAGCTAAAGCTGTCTGTGGATTATAAAGCTTTTTACTAATATTGCCAGCCGACTTATTTATTAATTTTTGTTCACAAAATTGATTGCACTTAGCTTTTAACCAACACTTTACTGGCTTAAATCCCATTGCTGACCGAGCTGGCTTAAGTGCTAATCGGATGAGGTAGTTCCCAGAAACTATTTACTGATTTGAAGTTCCCTCCCCAATGAAGCTAAGCCATTAGGCGGCAGCGTTAACACGCACTGGTTGCATTGAGTATACGATACGTTGCACAGCCGATTGCAATGCCCAAGCGTCGTGTGCCGCAATCCGTTTAAATCTCAACACCTGATTTTAGCATAGCCCCGGCTAAGCGAATATATAGATGGATGTGTATAGATATGTGTTTGTATTTGTGCAAGGTGCTGGGTAAGCGGCTGCTGCTGCTGCTGCTTCTGCTGAATATTTGTGAAGCCAACTTCAATTTCGCATAAAACTTTAAGCACTTTTCGCCCGCTGGCGGCCAAGTTAACCGAGTCGAAATAACAGCTAGTGCACCGTCCGTTCGTCGTTGGCAACCCAAGCCTTATGGCCACAAGGCACTGTTTTGGCTTTTAAATTTGGCCCGGCTTATCTAAACAGGCAACGCTGGCCAGGCCGAGCGGGCAATTGCTGCTGTTGTTATTCTTGCCTAGATTTTAAACATTTATATTCACTTAAGGAAATTACTTTTAACTTTTATGCTACGCTGCCCGTGTAAATAACCAACAATGGCCAACAGGAGCTGCTCCTGGCTGCGATTGCTTCTGCTCCTGCTCCTGCTGATGATGCTGCTGCTGCTGCTGCTGCTGCTTTCAATTGATATGGCTCAGCGCGTGTTTTCCTGCAATCTAATCTAAGCGAATTCTTGTTGACAAGTTTTTCGAAAATGTTCAGCCAATTGGCAGTAAGTTGAACTAGCTCAAGAACGGGCAAAGTAACAATAACAACGTGGATAATATTTAATGAGGCCTGAGCTAAGCAATTTGTGTGTGTGTGTGTGTGTATAGGAATTGAAGGCCCACTTTCAGGCTGCCAATTAAGTTGGCCTCATTTTCAGCCTGCAACGGTAGCCTGCCCCATCGGCACCTCATTTGATCCTGGCTGGCAATTAAAAATAATTGTTAATTTTAAACGTCACACACGACACACACACACACACACACGCAGGCACACACACTATATTATAAAGTCATATGGCCTGGTAGGTGGTTTTCTTCCTCTTTTTGCTCGCATTTGTCTGTTTTAATTAGACGCTAACCCTGCCAACCCGCTCGCTCGCCCGTTACCCTATTCACAGTTCGAGTCGTTAATAAAGGTTAACGAAGTTTTGCCAACGCGCAGATTTCTTACACATTTATACACAAACACGTATACATACATACGCCTACGCACACACACTCGCACACGTGTGGAGATTCCAGCTAGAGTGCGCATTTTTGCACTCACGTGCTCTTTTCCGGTATGTAACGGTACTAAATTCATTAGGCACACTAAATTACAACCGCAGCGCATGATGAGACTGGGCAGGGGGCGCCGGAGGAGCCGAAGGAAGTCTGAGTTGAGTTGGGTTGAGTTGGGGCACATCGAGGCGGAGCGGGGCGGGGCATGGTGTCGTGCCAGGTGACGCCAGGTTGCCTACAGACTTGGATTTTTATTGCCGACGCTCTACAAAGTGCTTCAATGTATGCAAACATACATATATATATGCTTATATGCGTGTGTGTGAGTGTGTGCGTGCGTGTATGTGTGTGTGGCTGCTATTAAATAGTCGCACCGCCCGCAGCGCGCTTTGGAAAATTGGCTTTCGCATGCCTGCGGTGCGCTTTATTACTGCGAGCAAAAACAGCAACAAGAACAATAAGTGCGAGTGTTTGTGTGGACTGTGCTCGACTAGTAGATACCCTACTAAGACACGTAATATGCAAATATTTGAAAAATATTTATAATTGTAATCAAGACTTTTTGTTGGATTTCAATAGCTGAACTCTTATATCAAATGTCTTTCTGTTTCGTCTATAACATCCTTTCAGCTGGATTTATACCATATCTCATTATCTTATTATACCCTTTACTTTTCACGCATTTTTAATGACTACAGGGTATGGGAAAAACAATTTCAGGCATGCGATTTAATGCTTAAATTTCTGAATGCCTGACAGTTGGATTAAGGCAAAGTGTTTTAATGCCTTCGTCTTTTAATGACGTTGACATTTCCATTTCTGTGCGCCCGCGCGCTTCACAGAATTTTCCAATTTCCCAATTTCTTGTCATGTTGTGCGCCCGATCCCGCCCCCCAACACTCTGCCCGCCCCACAAAAGTATGCTACAGCAATTGTGAGGCGCCTGTAGCAAACGCATTCATCAATCAAGTTGACTAATTACCACAATTGTTGGCGAGCGCAGCGCAGCAACTGTTCGGCTTGTTGAAGCAACGATGCCACGCCCCCACACGCACACACTCCCATACACACTCACACTGCTGCGGGGCAGAGAGAAACAATAACAGCAGCAAATAAACTACAAGTTGTTTAATAATTTCTTATTAAAAAATTTCGAACAGCAAAAAACAATAAAATACTTTTACAACTTCTTACACACACACACAGACAGCCGCATGTGCATATGTGCACACACACGTACACCCGCATATACAATCCATGGCCCACATCAGCAGTAAGTTTCCAGTTGCTGGCCAACTGCTCTTTGCCCGGTTGTGGATTTGTATCTTATAGTTGGCACAGTCAACGTTTCATTCATGTGGATGTGTTTCTGTGTATGTCGCTGTGTGTGTGTGTGCCTAGCCAAAAGATTTCAATACTTGGAAACTTTAGCAAGTTGTGAGCCAATGTTTATGGCGCCCAACGTGGTTTACAACGTTACTCCGGCAAA